TAAGCTGGTAGAATTCTTCAGTTTCACTACGATTGGCTCTAGTGGTTGTTGTATAGATTTGAATCATAGTTATATTAACCATTCTTCCTTGTAGGCTAGTGGATACACTATAACAGGCAGCACTGCCCTTCAAGATAGATCTTGAAATGCTCTTTTTGACAATGAATGCAGCTCTAGCCCCTTAAATTTATCATTCCCAGCATATAAACCATTTAATTATTTGATTCAAACTGGTTAATACCAATTTATTTCAGTTCACTAATGCCAAGTTATAGATCTTTATGCGTTCCTTTTCATTTCTGATGGTTTCTGGTTTTTCGATATCCACACTTCACACATTCCACCTTCCGGTTATTAGTGGATATTTGCAGAAATTTCTTTTCAGTTTGAGTTGTGTCCCATCAGCAAATGAAGGTCCTGAAAGCTTTGCTCCATCCACGCCATTAAGATTAACTCTACTTTGAGTGGTAGTTCTTCTTCAGTTGTATATTCAGTACCTTCCAACCTGAGAGACTCATTTTCTGGCACTGTACTAGATGACACTTCACTGCTAGTCATAAAGTTTTCATAAGTAGTCTTCCTCTCTTTCTAGTTTGTCTTAGTCACCGTGGGTGACTCTTCAAGTACTTAAAATACTGGTGCCTAGATTTCAACATCACACAACACACACACCATCCTAGTATGACGAACCCACAGATTAGGGATGGAATAAAAGAGTAGCTTCTAAATTATGACTTTCTGAAATGTTACTGTCATGCCAGCACTAGGTCATAAACTATGTGCCAGTCTTTTGATGTTTTATGTTATTGATTTTCTGAAGTAAAATCAATGTTTAGGAGTAAGAGGAAAGCAGGAGAGGAAAATAATTTATCTTTTACCTTTTTTAGCCTATATTATTGTAAGAAAATACAATTTGTCTAATATAAAGTGCTTTCATATCATAATGGCACTGACGTTGAAAAGCAAAATAAAGAATATTATCAAGATAAACAAACATTGCAATAATTTGCAATTTATCTCAATTTTCCATAATGTCATGAATTGACATTAGTTTTTTATTTGTTTGACTTGTTAGAAATTTCTTCCTACTGAGATTCAATCTTTCCTTATTTCTTGAGTTCTTGGAATTATGAAGAATAGCCACATTTCTTCTACTCCAACCATATGACAGGGAAAAAATAGTTACTCATATTGTATTGATCATATGAACAGATTTCCCAACTACAGTGTCTCATTCCTGGACAATCAGAATCCACTTGTAATTCCTTAAGCAAACACTGGGATTTTTAGGGAATATCTTTTTCTTTGTATTTGGAAATACCTTCACTACCAATGAAACTAGTTAAAAAGAAAGATACAGAGAGGGGAAGAGGAAAAAGAATACTCTGATATTTTCATTGCTCTCACAGGTCATCTTGTGCCACAAGATCCAGGACATATTTATTATTATAGCTAAAATAGTCTATATTGTTTAAACCAAATTAAGTAAGTTTTTGCCACTTACAACTGAGTGTGTCATAACATACCAAACCACATAAGTTATGCTTAACACCAGATACTTAAAAAACATATGTATTTAATATAAAATATTAACAGCAGGCATCTTCTATTGATTTTTCATAATTGCTTCCAAAGGAAGAAAAAACAGGTGAAGCTTAAACATTTAATTTTAAAATCATCTTCTAAAATACTAAGTATCTCACAAGATAAATTAATAATAATTACAATACTTAAAAAAGTTATTTTTGTAAATATTTTGAGAATACAAGTAAAATAAATATATCTATAAGAAATAGGTCAGTTATAAAATATAAGATTGCCTTGAATATTTATCATTTAAGAAATCAATCTGTGCTAAAACAAAAATAAAGGAGTAAGTTTTTTCATGTAAAATAGAAATTCCATTCATTTGTTGCTGGGGACAGCATACACAGACCCTGGGTTGATTAGTGGCTGCCCCATTGAACCACCTCTGAATATAATCAGTTTAACCCAGATGCTCCTCTTCCTCCTGAAAGTATATAGGAATGTGATAATTAAGAACAATGTAGCATTTTAGGTATAGATAAATGAAGTCCGGTGTCTGAGATCTTGCTCACAAACAAAAGTTTGCAAAGTGTACAGAGACAGCTTGCCTTCTTTCAGGAACCTTGCTTTATGTTATGTATCCTTAAGAAACTGCACGTCGCTACTCTAGATCATTTAAGCCTAAAAATTAATATATAACAGCTTGATTGAACCTTTTTTCTGTAAAAATAAAAATGTTAGATTGTTAAGAAAAAACTATGAAAATATCTTACAAGTTGTTCCTGTGAATCATTATGTCCTGTTTTGAATGATTAATCACATTTCAGTTCTGTATTCTGTCTTCATCACATCCTCCCTTTGTGACATCCTCCCTGAGTGAATTACATCCTTCCTTTGTAATAAATCCCTCCCTAAAAAAGAGAGTAAAAGGCTGTGAGGTAAAGTGAGTTCTGCATGCAATGCTGTGCAATGTTAGGCAATATGTTTGCAGATCTGCCTACCTGCCAGCTTGCATCATATCTGTATGTCTGACTTTTTTGTATATATTTCATCTCTGTCTTTATCCCTTTCACCGCCAGATTTCCATTCTTTGTGACATCCACACTTCCTTGTCGAGGCTAGAACCTGACATAGGACCTCGACAATTTGTGCAATAAGAATTGTCAACAAACAAAAACCTACTGCCATTGAGTCGATTCCTACTCTGACTATATAAGGCTGAGTAAAAATGTCCAGTAGTGTTTCTTGAAGGAAGCAGACTACCTTATCTTTGTCCTATGGTGTGGCTTGTAGACTCAAACCACTGACCTTTTTGTTAGCAGTCAACTGCTTAACCACTATGCTACCATTAAGCAGAAGTAGGTCTTTTTATTACTATCATCTATCAGATAGCCTAATATATAGAAGCTGCTCTATTAAAAATGATTGAATAAAGTAAGTGATATATTTCAAAATAAATTTAAAACAATTAAAGAAAGCAGGAACACTATCATTTTATTTAAGCAAATACTGAATAGGGATTATATATTTATTTATTTGAGTTACATGTATAGAGAGATTGGTAATACATTCTGGTTCAATATATAGCTGCTCCTTCTTATTTCATTGACTGTAAATTTAACACAAATAAGAGTATAACACTTACGGGCAACCACTCTTGCAGGAAGCATAGAAATTCTAAGAATCTTTTGATATCAAGAGAGCACATTCCACAAAGTCTCAATATGTCTATAGAACACTTGGATTATACTTTTGGAATCTATCCCATACTTATAGCACTTAGTGCATAAAGTAACAAACATAAACATATATGCCTCAGACATAATTTAGTTGTCTAAACAATATCAAGAACAATTCTGAATTTTATATAGTGGCCCACAAAGAAGTTGAATAGCATTGGTATGCATGAAAGAACATGCAAAATAATTATTATGAAAATTGTATCAATGTAATTCATTACACCATGTTCTTAATATTTTCCAAAGATGAACAAACACTTATTTATTGGGTATCAGGTTTTCTAGTGAGCTGACTATATAAGTAGCAAGATAATTATTGTTGTAACATTTATAAATGTATAATCTAGATAGATAGCCATGGTATTTTCAATAACCTCATATGGATGTGAAAGATGGACAGTGAATAAGGAAGATCGTAGAAGAATTGATATCTTTGAATTATGATGTTGGAGGAGAATACTAACATTTCCATGAGCAGCCAAAAGAACCAGTAGATCTGTTTTGGAAGAAGTGCATCTAGAGTGCTCCTTAGAGGCCAAGATGACCAAACTTTGTCTCTCATACTTTGGACATAATGTCAGGAGGGAATAGTCGCTAGAGAAGGATATCATGCTTGGTAAGATGGAGGGTCAGAGAAAAAGAGGAAGACCCCCAACGATGTGTCAGCATTGATGTACTCAAATGTAGCAACAGTAGTGAGGTTGGCCCAGGATCGTACATTGTTTTGTTCTGCTGTGCATAGGGTGGCTATGAGTCGGTGCTGACTCGATGGCACCTAACAACAACAATCTAGATAGATTGATTCCATGTGATTTAAATTCCATTAATTAAACTACTCAGTGGTCTTACGAAATGTTTTCTTATTACATCATCCATCTACTAAAATTTTCAGACAGCTTAATGGGTTCTTAATCATTAAATTAATTGATTAGAGTATTCTTTTTCCAGTCTACCGAGGTAAAGCAACTTCCATTTCCTTTGATAGCATAGACAATCTCAAGAAGAAAAAAAAAATACAGAAAACTACCACATAAAGATCACTGATAGCATAGTGAATTATGATCTGGGCTGCTAACAAGGTTAATTGTTGGAATCTATCAGCTGCTCTACCAGAAAAAAGCAAGGCTTTCAGCTTTTGTAAAGCCTTCCAGGCTAAAATACCCTATACAGGGTCGCTATGAGCCAGAACCAAGGAGCTCTGGTAGTGTAGTGGTTACGAATCGGGCTGCGAGTAGCAAGGTCAGCAGTTTGAAACTACCGCGGGAGAAAGAGGAGGCTTTCTGCTCCCATAAAGATTTACAGCCTCGGAAACCCTGTTCAGGGTCGCTATGAGTCAGAACCGACTCGACGGCACTTAACAATAACAATGAGCCAGAACCAATTCCTTAGTACACAACCACCAGCACCACCACCATGTTCATATTCATAAGAATAAAAAGAATTGAAATCATTCAAGAAAGTGAGGCAGCACAGGAGGCACTCACTCATCTATGCCAAGAAATTTGGAAGACAACTCTCTGGTTAAGTGATTGGAAGAGATCCATATTTGTGCCCATTTTAAAGAGAAGTGACCCAATGGAATGCGGATATCATCGGACAATATCTTTGATATCTTATGCAAGTAAAGTTTTACTAAAAGTAATACAGACTTTTTGCGGAAGAGGAGGTCGCAGCTGCAGGTTTCCTCGCTGGGCCACTCCTGCTCCTGACTCACCGCTGTTCGCTCTTGCCAAGGAACAAGTCAGTCAGGAAGCCATGCCACTGTGGCCACGGCTTTTAAGGATACCAGAAAGATGCCCATGGAACCAGAGGTGGCCATTCACCAGATTAGAATTACTCTAACCAGCTGCAATGTGAAGTCGCTGGAGAAAGTGTATGCTGACTTGACTAGAGGTGCAAAGGACAAGAACCTGAAAGTGAAGGGCCCAGTTAGGATGCCTACCAAGACTCTGAGAACCACAACAAGAAAGATATCTTGTGGTGAAGGTTCTAAGACCTGGGACCGCTTCCAGATGAGAATCCACAAACGACTCATTGACTTGCACAGTCCTTTTGAGATTGTTAAGCAAATCACTTCTATCAGTATTGAGCCTGGAGTAGAGGTTGAAGTCACCATTGCAGATGCTTGAGTCAACTATTTTAATAAATTGATTATCCATTGGTTAAAAAAAAAAGTAATACAGAAAAGCCTACAAGCATACATTGCCAGAGAACTCCCAGAAGTTCAAGCCAGATTCAGAAAAGGCCATGGAATGAGGGATATCATTGCTGATGTCTGATGGATCTTGGCTGAAAGCAGAGAATATCAGAAAGATGTTTACCTGTGCTTTGTTGACTATGCAAAGGCTTTCGATTGTGTTGATCGTGACAAGCTATGGACAATATTGTGAAGTATGAGTATTCTAGAACACTTAATTGTGCTCATGAGGAATCTGTACATGAACCAAGAGGCAGTTGTTCGAACAGAGCATGGGAACACTGAATGTTTTAAAATTAAGAAAGTTGTGTGACAAGGTTGTATTCTTTCACCATACTATTCAACCTGTATGCTGAGCAAATAATCCGAGAAGCTGGGTTCTCTGAAGAAAAAAGTGGCATCAGGATAGGAGGAACACTCATTAACAACCTGCGATATGCAGAGGATACAACCTTGCTTGCTGAAAGTGAAGAGGACTTGAAATATTCACTGATGAAGATCAAACAGCATAGCCTTCAGTATGGATTGCATCTCAATGTCAAGAAAACAAAAATTCTCTCCACTGGACCAATAAACAACATTCTTATCAACGTAGAAAAGATTGAAGTTGTCAAGGACTTCATTTTTCTTGGATCAACTATCAACACTCATGGAAGCAGCAGTCAAGAAATCAAATGACTTATTGCATTAGGCAAATGTGCTACAGAAGACCTTTTTAAAGTGCTGAAGAGCAAAGATGTCAGCTTGAAGACTAAGGTACGTCTGACCCAAGTCATGGTATTTTCTATAACCTCATATGCATGCAAAAGCAGGACAGTAAATAAGGAAGAATTGATGCTTTTGAATTATGCTGTTGGAGGAGAATACTGAAAGTGCCATGGGCTGCCAAAAGAACCAATAGATCCATTTTGGAAGAAGCACAGCTAGAGTGCTCCTTGGAGGCCAAGATGGCCAAACTTCATCTCTCATACTTTGAACATAGAGTCTGGAGGGACCAGTCACTGGAGAAGGATATCATGTTTGTTAGGGTGGAGGGTTAGAGAAAAAAAGGAAGATCCCCAGTGAGATGTATTGGTAAAGTGGCAGTATCAATGGGCTCAAGCATGGCAATTATAGTGAAGTTGGCCTAAGATTGGGCAGTATTTCATTCTGTGCATAAGGTTGCTGTAAGTCGGTACTGACTCGATAGCATATAACAACAACAACATAGTTTGAGAAGGATGGTAAAAATTTGCAGTGTTTCATTTTTATTTTAGCTTTGCCCTGATATCAGACCAGAGTCTCAAAACAGATAGGCATTTGTGGATGAAACTCTGAAATTCTTACATTCTTCTCACTAGAGAAAGCAAGGAAAAAAATTTGTACTAGTGCACCACAGGAGAGTGAAAGGGAAATCCTAGAGAAAAGAGTAGAGAGAGAATTTCTTAATTCTTAAATTTCTTAAATCGATGGATGGTGCAGTCAAAGAAACACAAACAATAAAAGCTAGGGAATTATGTTGACATTTGAACTTGTACTCAGAGTAGGTGGAAGAGCTTATAGTTTGAGTCTACCCAGGTTAATTCTTGCTCAAAATGAAAATGCTGGCATCCTGAGAAATCCAACAAAGCATAGAGCTGACACAAAATAACATCAACATTCAATACATTGCATTCAACATTACTAGCATGAAAAATTGTAATACATCCTCAGTGAAAAGACCAAAAGCTTATGTCAACCTTAAAGTTAAGCCAACAGTTTTAATTAACTGACAATAACTCTAAAGTAGGGGAGAAAACTGTGCCCAAAGATGGAAAGATGTTACATTCAAAATAAATTATAATAAATATTCAAATAAAAATGAAAATTTAATATCTTCACAGATAATAAATGGGAATAAAAAGTCAATAGAAATATTTAATCACAGATTGAATATGATAAAGACTTCAAATACTTAAAAAAATATCAATGGAAATAATCAGTTCTGAAAATAAAGGAAAACAAAACTAAAACAACCTTAGGTACAGGAATCTCTTAGAAAGTAAGCATTTAACAAATACAGTAATTTGTCCTTTAAGAATACCATACCCAAAAGTGTATCTGTTTCTCATAGACTATGACAAATGGATTCATCTGTCAATTTGTTGTACAGTGGTGGCTTTGTGTTGCTGTGATGTTGGATTCTATGCCACCAGAATTTTAAACACCAACGGGAGCACTCACAGGGGGCTGGTTTCAGCAAAGCTTCTAGACTAAAATAGACTATAAATCAGAGACCAACAACTTCTGAAAGATTAGCAGTTGAAAACCTTATGACTATCAATAGAACAGTGATATATTGGTGGAAGAAGAGCCCCTTAATTTGAAAGACACACAACATAGGCCTGGAGAAGAGTAGCCTCACAAAAGTAGAGTTGATCTTAATGATGTGGATGGAGCAAAGCTTTTCTGACCTTCATTTACTGATGGGGTACACCTCAAAATGAGAAGAAACAGCTACATATATCCATAAATAATCAGCATATTGAAATCAGAAAGAATGAATTTAGCAAAACTGGAAGATATCAAAAATGTAATGAAATGCATGAAGATCAATATCCTGGACTTTGGTGAGTTAAAAAGACTTGTGTAGGCCAACTTGCCAACTTGAATCTGACAATTGTATGATTTACTATCAAGAAAGATAAATTCAAGAGGAATGACATATTTATCATCAAAAAAGAGCATTTAAAGATCTGTCTTGAAGTGCAATGCTATCTGTGATAGGATAAATCCATGTCTACAATGTAGATCAATTATTTAGACTATCAATCAAATTTACGCACTAATCACAAAAACCAGGGATTAAGAAATTGAAGAGCTCTTATCAACCTCTTCATCATGAAATTGATCGAGAATGCAGCCAAGATGCATTGATAATTGCTGATGACTGGAATGTGAATGCCAGAGATACATAGGAAGGATTAATAACTGGAAATACACTTTTGATGATAGAAACAATGTTGGAGATCACATGATAAAATTTGTGAGACCAATTTAATCTTTGCAAATACGTTTTTCAACAATATAAATGGTGACTATGCATGTAGACCTCATCATCTGAAACACACAGGAATCAAATTGACAACACCGTTGAAACAGACAATACAGAAGCTCAATATCAATAGTCAGAAAAAGGCCAGGACCAAATATGGAACACTTTAACTATAAATTGCTCATATGTAATTTCAGGTTGAAGCTGAAGAAAATTAAACAAGTCTACATGAGTCAAAATATGACCTTGAGCATGCTGTTGTTGTCAGGTGTCTTTGAGTAGGATCCTACCCATCGTGACCTACGAACAACAGAAGGAACCACTGCCCTGTCCTATGCCTTCCTCACAATCATTTTTATGCTTGAACCCGTTGCTGCTGCTACTGAGCCAGCACATCTTGTTGGGCGTCTTCCACTTTTTCACTGACCCTCCACTTTACCAAGTATGAGGTCCTTCTCCAGGGACTGGTTCTTCCTGATAATTTGTCTGAAGCTGTCCTGGCTTCTAAAGAACATTCTGGCTGTACATCTACCAACACAGATTTGTTTGCTCTTCTAGCAGTCAGTGGTACTTTTAATGTTCTTCTCCAATACCATAACTCAAGTGAATCAATTCTTTTATGGTCTTCCTTATTCATTGCCCAATTTTCACATGCATATAAAACTATTTAAAGTACCATGGCTTAGGTCAGGCACATCTTAGTACTAAAACTGACATCTTAGCACTTGAACACTTTAAAGAGGTCCTATGTAGCAGATTTGCCTAATGCAGTACTTTGATTTGTTGACTGCTGTTTCCATGACAGTTGACAATGGAACAAACCAAAGTGAAGACTTTGATAACTTCAATCACGTCTCCATTTATAATGATGTTATTTATTAAAAGAATTTATGTTTTATTTACATTGAAGTCCAGCCCATACAGAAGGTTGTGGTCTTTGGTTTTCATCATTGAGTATTATAAGTCTTCTTTGTTTTCAGCAAGCAAGATCATCTCATCTGCATATTGCAGGTTGTTTATAAGTCTTTCTCCAATCCTGATGGCACATTCTTCTTCTGTATAATCTAAATTCTCAGATTATTTGCCTAGCATGCAGATTAAATAGCGATGGTGAAAAAAAAAAAAACCCTAGCACACATGTTTCCTGATTTTAAGCCATTCAGTGCCCCCCTGTTCTGTTTGAACACCTACATCTGGGTATATGTAAAGGTTCCTCATGAGCATAATTAAGTGTTCTAGAATATTCATTATCTGCAATGTTTTCCATAGCTTGTGATGATCCACACATTCAAAAACTTTTGCCTTATCAATAAAACTCAGGTAAACATCTTTCTGGTATTCTCTGGTTTTAGCCAAGATCCATCAGACATCATCAATAATATCCCACATTTCACATCCTCTTCTGATTGTGGCTTGGAGCTTAGGTAGTTCCCTGTCAATGTACTGTGCAGCCATTTAAAAAATATATTTAGCAAAAATTTACTTGCATGTGTTATTAATGATGTTTTCCAATGGTTTCCACATTCTATTTGGTCACGTCTCTTTAGAACAGACACAAATATGGATCTCTTACAGTCAATTGGACAGGTAGCTGTTTTCCAAATATTTTGCATAGACGAGTAAGTGCCTTCAGTGCTGCATCAGATTGTTGGAATATTTCCATTTTTATTCCATCAATTCTTGGAGTCATGTTCATTGCCAATGCCTCCACTACTCCTTGGACTTTTTCCTTTTGTATCATTGTCACTCAATCATTTTATCTCTTAAATTGGTTGTACATCAACTATTTCTTTTTCTTACAGTGACTCTTGGTATTCCTTTCATCTTCTTTTGATACTTTTTACAGTATTCAATATTTTCCAATTGTTATTTTTTGTTGCATGCCATTGAGTCAGTACTGACTCATAGTGACCCTTTAC